TGGGTTGATCTTTCAAAGTTTTGAAATCGTTGAAGCTCAGGATGTTTACATCAGAACCAGTGTCCAGTTTTAGAGGAATAATAGTGTTATTCACTAGCAAGGGAGTGATCCATACATTTTGGGGGCCCTTAATATTTGTTGTTGATTTCACTGCATCCACAATAAAATCCTCGTCAGACATTACTGAAGTTTGTTGCTGCTCGACTGTTTCCACTTTGGTCTTAGGTTTTTCACTTCGATACATTTTCTGAAAATGATTAAATCTGCCGCAGTTATGACAGATTCTGCCATTCGCCGGGCAGGATCTTGATCCATGTGTATAACCACACCTGCTACAAGTAGATGGGGGTCTCGTTTCTTGGTTTCAAATTTCTCGTTTCTTGGTTTCACTTGACATGTGTTTGACAACGATTTCATTCGAGCGGTGGCCGCTTCGTCTGCTCTACAAATATCAATGCATTTTTGCAGGTCAAGTTCACTTTCGCGTAACAGTCTTGCCCGTACTTTGTCGCTTTGGGTGCCTTCCACGATTTGATCTCGCAATAAGTCGTCGGCTAACTGCCCGTAACTACATTTTCGTATTATAATTTTAAGATCTGTTAGGAAATGATCGAATGTTTCATCCACGTGTTGTTTTCGACTATGGAATACATGTCGCTCGTACGTAAGATTTTTCTTCGGCGTACAGTAAGCCTCGAACTTATGAATAAGAGGCTCAATCATGTCGATTTCACTTTCTGTAAAGGTATTATAAATTTCAATCGCTCTCTCTCCTGCTAAAGTTAAGAACATCGCACACTGAAGCTTTTCCGATTTCCTGTTCTTCTCCGATTTCCTGTTCTTCTCCGTGGCGGCCATAAACAACTTGTATTGCTGGAGCCATTTTCTCCAATTCTCCGCGACATTTCCTGTGAAACTGAGTGGTTTTGGTGCAGGTATCGACGATGCCATCGTAGGTTCGTTTAGTAAGGTTTAATTACTCCTGACACCATGTTAAGTTATTATTATTCCCTTTAAGTTATAGTTCACACTAGTATGACTACAAGTAAAACATGCAAAACTGTCTCGTCCCTGTCTCACGAGGCTGCCCTCGTTTCCATGCAGTCCGTATTACGTCATATCATTACAGAGGGAAACACTGAGATTCGAGGGAAAACAAAACTAACTATTTCCCGAGGGAAAAGACGTTAAGTGTTTTGTTATATAGCGACGAAACAAATATCAACATTGAACAACATTCATACAACAATATTTGTATTTCATGACAAAAACTCTATAGCGTAAACGAGTTAAATGGTTTCAGCAGCCTACTTAAATGGTTTCAGCAGCATATCCTGTTGCCTGTTATGTATTTTTCTTCTCTTTTATATTCTTTATTTTAACACAAAGCCACGAAAACAGTAGTTTAAATAGTATAAATTTGTACCGCCATTTTGTTTATTTATGTACGTAGCCGGTCGGGGCGGGCAACAATTTTTCACTTATTGCCCGGGCGGGATACATTGCATTTATCTAAAGCCACGTGACTACAAATCAGCCAATCACGTTTGGTGTTCACACTAGCTATATAACAAAATATGTTATTTACCGGCTGCGAGGTCCGTACCAAAAAAATATTTTCCCGAAGTCTCAGAAGGGAATAGCCTCTTTCGCAGACGTTGTTAGTGGCCGAGGTCTCACATAACGTCTGCTCACATTCGCCGCACATTTGACTTCCCGGCAATTAACCAATCACAATCATCTACACGATAAATAAACCTTTCCCCCTTTTAAGTGAAATTTTGATCTAGACAAGTCTGGACAAAAATTTCATCACAGCTTGAAAGAGCATAGCAAAATTAGTAATATTCCGAAGTTTCGTTGCAAAATGTTGTAAAATGCGGATACTATAGCCTTGCGAAGTTTGCAATTTTCAGTCATTTTGCATTACAAACGGGAAATTGATAATCAGATGATCAAACTGATTATCAATTTCCCATTTGTAATACAAAATGACTGAAAAACAGCAAACTTCGCAAGGCTATATTATCCGCATTTTACAACTTTCCGCAACGAAACTTCGGAATATTACTAATTTTGTGATGCTCTTTCAAGCTGTGATGAAATTTTTGTCCAGGCTAGTCTTGATCAAAATTTCACTTAAAAGGGGAAAGGTCTATTGGAAGATCGACCTTCAATGACCTTCACATGCATGGGCTATTATCAACAAGTCTGTAGTATTTTTAAATTTGAAAGTTTTAACACTACGCATCAGAAAAAGGCTTTTCATTCTATTATAAACGAAAAGAAGGATGTTTTCGTAAATCTCACAACTGGCGCAGGAAATCACTTATTTTAAGATGTGCTGCTAAGCCGCTGATAAACTGCGCAGGAGGCTAAGAAGGGAAAGGCCGAGGGAAATTTTTTTAAATATAAATAACCGGTAAATAACGTGTTTATTTATTTATTTATTTATTTGATGGTTCATGGTTATAATGAAATTCAGATAAAATTCCAGTTGCAAAGTACATTTGAGATCAGTTGCGTCTGTTACTTTAGTGTAAGCATGGCTGACAAACTGCTAAAACAACGCCATAAAAGCTGGATAAAAAGCTTTTAGTTTCATTGCAATATAGATGCTTTTCTACTCAACAAGACAACAGAAGGTAAACTAAGTAAAATTATTTATTTTCCGGATCGTTTTACAGCATGGACATGCTTGAAAAATGCTTTTTGACAGACAACTACAAATTTTAGTAGCCGAAAACAATCAATGTTCATTTATAGAACATTTATAAAATCAATTTTGAGCGAATTAAGCCCAGCAATCGTGCTTAAGGTTATATCACACGATGAACGTGCGTTTTAGTCTATTGGACATTGCGCAACGACTTTTAGGTGTAAGCCTAAGGGTAAGCGGAAAATTACCTGCTGGGCCAAAGTTGGGCAGAGACCAAACGTGCTCCATCCCAATCCTCACCAGCACCACTATGATAGGTTAAAGAGATTCTAACATGATTAAATATATAATACGTGTCCTTCTCATTGTATATCTTTGGCTACAAAATAACAAAAAGCAGGTCTAATGAGAGGTCTAGTCGACAGCTGAACATTATATATTTATAACCTTAAAAATAACTACATGTACTGTAAGTGAGTGTTTTCAGGGAATATTGCGGCTTGTACTATAGAGCTACCACTACAGGATAAAAGAGAATATACAATAACATAACACTTTCACTCACAAAGTTAATGCAAGGCATTTACATTGTTAGGAGTTGAAAAAGTAGATACTGTACAGTATCCTGGGAGGAGGGCAGATCCCCCAAAAAAGTCATACAAAGAGTGGAATTTGCAAAATCCAGGCCTTAAAATATCTTTTCCAGGGCCGTCTGACAAAATGTCCGGTGACGTTGAGTTTGGGTCGGACATATGTCCGATGACCTTCAGTTCAGTTTTGACTCTGAAATAAGTCTGAATGACACAAATGAATAAACGGTAAATGTTGTAAAGATATTAAATAATTTATTTCTTTCATAATAATTTCCAAGCCAAAATTAACTTGCTTGCCAGAACAGCAGTATTAAAAAAGACTTCGACAACTTAAGCCCGTTTTCCACTTCACCATTGTATTTGGACTGGAATGGAGCGTGTTTTCCTCCAAAATAACAGCCATGTTTTTGTCTTGTAAATGTCAAGGGATTGATTGCAAACCATGAATGAACTAAGATCATTTGTAATTATGTGTTGCTTTTGGCTGAAAATTTATTAATACTTGGATTATTTATAGTGTAATAAGATGTGGTTAAATTAAAATATTATTACATTTTAGGATATTACTTCATTTTAACGTGGCAATTTTATATTCTGAAATTACCGTAATCGCTCGTATTGAGCCCTCTTTAAAAAACCCTCCCACTCTTTTAAGCCTTCCTGTTTCGATAATTACCCCCTCCCTTAAAGGTGCCGGGGAAAGTAGGCCCCAGGGCTGGGGGGTTATAACAGAGATTACGGTAATTTTCTTGTTATGTAGATGTTGAGTTTTCCGATAGGATGAACTTATGAGACAACTCGCTTTGCAATGCATATAAGCAAATTAGAAAAGCGAAACATTTTTCTTACACGTGGGAAAATGTTTCCTCTAATCAAATGATACAACAATGACGTATGAGTAAATTTGTTTACGGCGGGAACTTTCGCGCCTTTTGTTATGACTTTGTTTATTTTGCCTGAAGGTGAACAAAAATTATATTTTGTCGCATGAAATAAAAAACACGGATTGGTTTGGCAAAAAATATAATATAAGGGACCGGTCATTAATAATAGGAAGAAGAGGGGGGGGGCAGCGGTGGATAAGAAACGGGGGGCGACTTCAACTATTTTGCCTCAATTGGGGGCGGCCTCAAACTGAAAAATATGTGACAGGGGGCAACCCCAATTTTTTAATACTGTCCTACTCATTTTTAATCTGTCTCGTCCTTATCGTATCCCACAAAATATTTCATCATTTTTAGTTCTTATAATTCGTAGTTTCCACTTTCCATAGTTATTACATGTATGCAGTTCACCATAGGTGTCGGAGTAAATAGCAACCATTTTGAATGCTGGTCCTCTAATTATTTATTGACTATGTAAGTGTTAATATATCTGTGGTTGGTAGATATGACTATATATGACTGCATATGCATATCAGAGTGTGATGTCAGTGTTTATGCCGTGGTTTATGCCGTTGTTTATTCCGTGGTTTATGGAATTATCTATGACTATGTTCATATTATAAAGTGTGTACTGTATATCAGAAAAATACTGTTATAAATATTGCTACTACCCCATTACTTAGTGCATGGAGGCCAAAAAATATCAGGCTATAATTATAAAGCCGTGATTGTATATACCACCTGATGATACACGCCCTAAGGCTGAAAATTGTTGAACTATTTTATTAAAAGTATTTTCAAAGATAAACCATCGCCGACAGTTTTAAAGTGAACATAGATGCTCTGTTCAGCAGTGTCTACATGTTTACATTGTGATGTGTGTCAACATTCACTATAAATGAGACGCGTACTATTAGTAAATCTGCACAAAGTTTATCAACGTTTTCAAACAACAAATCTAATGGCATATTTTCGGAATAGATAAAAGTGAATATGTACAAACGTTGACGACTGACCAGTTTGATATGAAAACATGTTTCAAGAGAATACCCACCTTCAAAGTTTAAAGTATACATTTTATTTGTTTCTTGACTTGACTGTTGATAAAATGCTACAGTGTTTTTGTAATTTAAAAGCAAACGGAGGTATAAAATAGAAGTTAGCGGGAGCTTCGAACTATATATCGTAAAATCCCACTCCTGGTATTTGAAATTTAACGTTTTCTGTCGAAGCATGTAATTTGATACTTTGCCACTCCCCCGTGGGCAATCAATTTTGTAGAGTCACGTGACCAGCTGATATCAGGGTCTTTCCCAAAGAGACCCTGGGTACGAGGATGTGAAACAGGAACGGTTAGGAACTTTTTCAAGAAATTTTCAAAATTTTAAGGAATTGTTCAGAGGTGTTCCTTCAAGTTAGTCTGTTGGCACGACTGTAACTATATAGACATAGGACGCGTGGTGTGAAGGAACGCAAGTAGTAATACCCCCCATCTGGCGGCGGAAGTAATTAGTATGCAAACTTAGGTGTCGGAAGTAATTAGTATGCAAAATATGTGACGTAACTTTGCTGGCCCTAACCCTAACCCTGGGCCAGGTAGCGCGACCAATTAACGCGGGCAGGCCTGGACCGACTGTGACAGGCAGCGCGACCAATTAACGCGGGCAGGTCTGGGCCAGACGTGGCAGGCATCGATTAGCATCACAACTAGTTTCTGACAAATTTGTAATAAAACGACAAGAGGTTTCTCATAGTTTGCATGTATAAAAGTATGAAATAGAAGTTAGTTTTTTAAAACCTACCGTTAGCTCAGTT